AGGACATTCAAGAAGACGCTTGAGATGGGATGCGACACCATCCCGTGCTACATCCCGAAGTACGGCGACATGATTGACGTGCATATGCCACGGGCATACGCGTCTATTGTTGACCCCAGGTACTTTCCCAGAGGTGCAATCCTTGAGCAAGTGGACGTGATGCAACTTGGAAAGAGTGTCAACTTCTGCATTGCTCCTTTCGACGGTGCTCCACTATGCAGGATTGGTGATGATCGCTCGGTATTTACTACAAGGGACCAAGCAAACCAGCTATCTCACGACCTATGCAGAGTCCTTCGACACAAGATCGGCAATTGCCGCGGAAGTGCTTTCAGGTGCGACGAGGGTGGATGGGTCGACATTGATGCTGTCATTGACGACCGGAACAACGACATATTCCCACCATACACCACGAGAGCGAAACGATACATGGGCATCATGGAGGTGATCAAGTGGCAGGAATCCGGAAGCAGAAAATCGAGATTCCAGGTTTTGGCAGCAAGGTTTCCGAGCATCATGGACCCGAACGACACGAGGGCAGCCAGGGAGGAAATGACCGAAGCTGGCGTGGATCGGGACGACATCGACAGGATGTTCAACAGATGCGATGGATGGTACAGACCTTGGTGCATCCGAGTCACAACCGGTCACAGTGATTTAGGATTCATGAGCTCATCCGCACTGGCGAATAGGTATTCCGCAAGAATGGGTGATACTCTCGGAGGAGCATTCCATGTGACGTATGTGGAAAACCTGCCAAGCATCGTACGCTGTGGGCTAGTCCCCGGCGGAATCGATGGCGGCAACAGGCTAGCACTGCACTTCGGGGCGTTTGCTCCATGGGATGAGATGAACGTGGCGACGAAGACAAAGCTACGGAACGTGAGGAGAGGGGATCCGATTGCGATCATCTATATTCCCAGTGCAACCCTCGCGCGGTATGGGGCTGGAGTCGCGGCTAATGGGACTTACATGGTCTTTGACGTGATCCCGTTCTATGAGGTCAAGTCCATTTGGATTGGCAAAAGCAACGGAGGGAAGCGCCTGGAGTACGCTGACATCAAGAGGGCGTACTCGAAGTGTGTGGAGAACGAGATCTGCCCTGGCTTTGTCAACTCTTCCCAAGAGTCGGCTGCGATGTTCCTCCAGAGCGTCGCAAAGATCAGCGAGAGGATGCCGGAGACTGAGACAGGTGCCGATAATCTGCACTACATCGTTGACATGGTTAATCGTGCTTGCGAACTCTATCGAAACAACAAGATGGAAGAGTTCAACGCACAGGTCAACGAGGTCCGGGACGAAGTCAGCAAAGTCGTCATCCTGAATGATGAGACATGGGAAGGACTGTGGTGCCGGATATGTCCATCATGTGCGACCGCGATCCCCACCTGCTTCTGCTTATGCCTGGAGTGCGAGGCACAACTGATCTCCATCGGAAGATACTACATTCACATCAAATCCGAAGACGAGGAGGACAACCAAAACCCCAACGTCTCTGGAGATGCCAGGCGTGCACAGGAAGAAGCTAACCACGATGCGGCAGCACAGGAGGATGAAGACGAAGCGGAGGAAGTTCCGGGAGAAGATGACGACATGGACACGCAAGGATATACATCCGGCTATGCGTCAGAAGAAGAGACAGCGGTTGGCATTACCGCGACACCGATCTGGCGTCACGGGACATTATAAGTTCCCAACGGATGGCGATCTGCCTTGACGAGCCGCGTGAGGCTCAGTACATGGCAGGATTTATCGCACCCCAGCTGTCCAAGATGTGGGGGATGTTTGAAGGTGGTGAGGAGAGAACGATGAATGCCGGACTCGAAGGGAATCCGGGCTGCCCTTATCACAATGATTTCAGGAGGTACCCCAACATCACTGAGCATGATCAGGAAGGTATACTTTTGCCGTCAACAACACTGAAGATTTCTCAATCGGAGAATGTTCGGACAAGAGCCTTCCGATCGGTTGAGGAGCGTGACGAATATATTCGTATGATGGTGAACAAATGCGAGGGACTATACACATTCTACAAGCTGTGGATTGCAGCGAGAATCCTCGATGTCACCAAAGAAGAAATGAAGCTCCTGGTCAAGGACCGAGTGCACCCGGTGGGTGATATTATTTTCAGATGTTTTGCACTAGCTTTCAACTGTAAGTATATATCATTCGTGAGGGATGGCCTGAACCTTGGCAAGCATGGTTACACGGTCAACGTGAGCGCCATCATCTCGGCCATCGACCCGAACAAATGCGACACACCCCTGCTGGATTGGTGCCTTCGGAAAGGGCACTGGTTGCCAGAGGACGACAACAAGAAGTGTGTCCGGGCACGAGAAGCCCAGAAGAACTTGGACGAGGAGTTCCGCCGACGTACCCATAGGCTGTCCATTGGGGACAGGTATGCTTCGTGAAGATGATGATTGCGGTACGATGTGGGCCAGTCCCCATCTGTTACTTGCGTCACATCGACACTGTTATGGTGGAACGACTTACGTCGTGATTTATATTCATGTGTCCAAGATGATTGGATGTGTACATGGTTACATATTCCGACGACTATGACGCTCTGGATATTCATGGATGGAATTATTACCTTATAGATGATATCTTTTCATTATTTATGCATTATCCATGGTATCTGGAATGGCTATGATTTGCATTGATTACTCACCGATGTTTCTTTGCCGGAGATATGCAGACCGATCACACGCGGGCGCGTCTGGTGGACTTTTGTGGCCAACCCATTTATGGATGACAGCTGCGCGATGCGCAAATGCGGCAGCTGGAATGTTCACTGGCGGTCAAGTGAAGTGGCCACAGTGTATTATATACACCAGCATATGGATGTGTGCTTCGATTGGAGGATGAATGTTTCACTTTTCGTACAATCGAACCCGGCATGTTTCACAGCGAATGAACGGTGTAGTGATAGCAAGTAAAAGAATGCACGACACGATTTCGTAGTTGAAGCCGTGGCCAGTGGAACGTTTTGTGGTGTTTGGACCGCATGATGAACAATGCGTCCCAAATGGGGGATGTTAAAACCCTCTAGGCCCCGTGCCGAAATTGGGTAGCTGTTCTGAGGTCCTTGTTGGTGTTGCTTCCCAAGTTCCATTGATCGCCATTTGGCTCAAGACACAATTGAGGTTCAAGATCTGATGTGTGACTGCGAACATTCGTGACGGGCGATAAGAGCAAACCAACTGCTTGCGCTGCATTGTCAGGACTACTGGTGTAACTATCATTCCTTCTTCCTTACAACGTTTACACGGGTTCGGCTATAACGGCATCGTCCGTATACACCTTTCTACGTGGTTGGTATTGAAGCTTGAGGGTTCGGTGCACAGCGTCCCACGGGACGTCACCTTGCCGTCTCTTGACAGTTCTTTCATTCGCTCATTCATTGGTTCACTCTTTCCTTCGTTCATACATTCATTCATTCATTCATTCATTCATTCATTCATTCATTCATTCATTCATTCATTCATTCAGTCATTCATTCGTTCGTTCGTTCATTCATTCATTCATTTTGTCATTCGTTCGTCATTCATTCATCCATTTCATCCATTCATTCATTCATTCATTCATTCATCCATCCATCCATCCATCCATCCATGAAATCATTAACTCATTCATTCGTTCATTCATTCATTCGTTCATCCATCCATCCATTCATTCATTCATTCATTTATTCACTTGTTCATGTATTCATGTATTCATTCATTCATTCATTCATTCATTCATTCATTCATCCATTCATTCATTCACTCACTCACTCACTCACTCACTCACTCACTCACTCATTTCATTCATTTCATTTCATTTCATTTCATTTCATTTCATTTCATTTCATTCCATCTCATTCATTCATTCATTCATTCATTCATTTCATTCATTCATGTATTCATTCATGCATTCATTCATTCATTCATTCATTCATTCATTCATTCGTTCGTTCGTTCGTTCATTCATTCATTTGAAGTCATTTCATTTCAGTTCATTTCATTCATATCGTTTGTTCGTCCGTCATTTGTTCATTCATTCATGTGCTTGTTCAATCATTCATTCATTCATTCATTCATTCATCCATCCATCCATCCACCCATTTCATTCATTCATTCATTCATTCATTCATTCATTCATTCATTCATTCAGTCATTCATTCATTCATTCATTCATTCATTCATTCATTCATTCATTCATTCATTCATTCATTCATTCATTCATTCATTCATTCATTCATTCATTCATTTCATTTCATTCATTTCATTCATTCATTCATTCATTCATTCATTCATTCATTCATTCATTCATGTATTCATTCATTCATTCATTCATCCATCCATTCATTCATTCATTCATTCATTCATTCACTCATTCACTCATTCGCTCATTCGTTCATTCATCCATTAATTCATTCGTTCAACCAATCAATCATTCATTTCATTTCGTTTCATTTTTCATTTCATTTAATTTCATTTTCATTTCATTTCAGGTCATTGTCATTTCATTTCATGTGCATTTCATTCACTTCATGCATTTCATTATTTATGTTGTTGTTTTGTTTTTTACTTGTTTATCAATTTTTGTTTTTTTATTTCATTATTGCTTTCTCTTTCATTAATTGGTTCATTCATATTCATTCGTTTTCTATTCATTGATAAATTCAGCTAGTTAGAATCAGGCAGGGAGGCAGTCAGTAAGTCAGTCAATCACTCAACCAGCCAGCCTGCCAGTCAGGCAGTCAGTGAGTGAGTCAGCAGCCCGCACAGTCAGTCAACAAGACAACTTGGCAATTGGACTGACGATTAAACACAAAATGCCAGCCAGCCACCCACCCAGCCAGCAGGAGCCAGGAGATCAGGCACGGCCAATAACAGGCCAGCTGCCGTCGTTATGAATGATTGTCGTCGCTGGATTGCTTTCCGGTTGGCCCCCGCTGTGCTATAATAAGGTACGGCTGGGAAGCGGAAGGGCAGTTCCGACCCACGGAAGTGATGGATTATGTGACGGCTCGCCGCCCACGTGCAGTGGTGTTAGAGAATGTGGCGGCGCTGGCCAAGCACCAGAAGTACCGTGCTACTTTCAAGTTCATCATGACGACCTTTAAGAAGCTGAAGTATCAGGTGAAGGCCTTTGTCTTGGACAGCCGGGAGTTCGGATTGCCTCAGCGCCGCCGCCGCTGCTACATTATTGCCGCACTCCCGCCCAAGTCATTGTCCAACACCAGTGGCATCAGTGTCAAGCGCCCCAAGGCTGTCAATGTCAACCTCGAGAGTGTCTTGGCCAAGAAGCCCAAGGAGACTCTGCCGGACGCCCCAGGTGCCCGCCGCAACATCAAGGCTGCCTTGAGGAAGCTGCGGAAGGATGGCATTGACCTGGCGAAGCAGGAGTGCTGTGTCGACATTGCTGCTGGTGTTAAGTTCCAGCAGGTGTCTACCAACTGCTCGCCCACACTCACACGGGCAAGAGGCAAGACGAAGGGCTTCTGGTTCACCAAGGCGCTGCCCGTCGTGTTGCGCCTTTCAGTGGATCTGAGTGTGTCATGGCCCTTGTTTGGTCTCGGTGACATGTGCTGCTGTCACAGGCGCACCGCACGATCTGCGTCGAGGACATGGCAGCACTTCAGGGCTTTCGCCTCTCCGAATTGGCGGGTGCCACAGGAGCGGTGTCTGAGGCTCAGCTGGGTGGGATGCTCGGCAACAGCGTGTCAGTCCCCGTTCTATGCCAAGCCGTGAAGAGCGCCCTGACACTGGCAATTTAGCAATGTTGCTGCTGAGCGGCTGTGGTTTGCAATTCACCACCAGCCGTTGAATTCAAGTCAGACCGCAGAAGATTGCATTTCGCGCCGGTAAAGGGAGGCTTGCCTGCTATTATTTGTCATTGTTGATATTGCCACACCTGGCTTCAACACATAGTGATCGTCATAGTGGTGTATGCCAGTGTTGTGTGGCTCGGAGTCGTAGTAGTCATTGTCATTGTCGCTCCAGCATTGTCATGCCGCCCAAAGGGGCCAAGTCCGCTGCTGCAGGCTGGGCGGCTAGCCTAAAAAGGCTTGAGCAATCGCCCGACATGCGCCGGCAGGCCAGCCGCCCACCAAGGGCAAGGATGTCTCCGTGCCGCAGTTCAAGTCGCTCAACCTTGAGCACATGGGGCGTGTCCAGGAGGCATGGGAATTCATCATGTCGCCATAGCCTCAGCCAGTTTGTTTTTCTGCACCCAGCAAATATGTTGAGTATTTGTGTTTCACGAGTCAGTAAGGCTGGATGAATTCCAGAACATCTCCTCCCGGGAGCCACTCAGTCTGGCAGAGGGCGGGTCTGCCGCTCCAGTAGACTTGCTGGTCATCAAGCAACGGCTGCAACAGTGCCCGGGCAGCTGGAGTGTCACAGGGGGCGGAAATGCGGCCTGGGTGAATTGGCACTGGACGGTCAACCAAGTGCCGATTTTGGAAAGCGGGGTGAAGTTTCTGCGGGACGCAAAGTTCAGGGAGCCCACGGCCTTGAAGGTCACTGTCGTCGTCAGTGACAGCTTGAGCAACCCATGCAACGTCACGCACCGGGCGGGGTCCCTTTTGAGAAGGATCAGTCAGGAGGAGCTTCATCACGCGTGGATTCTGGCAACTTACCGCGATGTCAAGGATGGCAAGCTGGTTCAGGACAGAATGTGTTGACATGGTCCAACTCCATGCACATCTGTTTAAAGATGAAATGCGCTTGGCTTGGCTGACTCTATCCCATTTTTGAACTAATCATCCTTGTCAAGAGTCTGGGTCTGTGTCAGTCGTTGTAGTAATTTTCATCAGACGATGTTTTTCTGACTGCGGTGAGGTGTTAGTGCCTGTCAGGAATGGGTCAAGGCATGGCTCAGCAGCATCATCACTTACCAGGCCAGCCCCTCCGAGTCCGAGATTGACGCCTTCTGGCAGTCAGCCCAGATTCGAGAAGAGGTGGGTATTGACTTCGAGGGCACCTACTACTCTGTAGTCGCTGCCCCAGCGAAGTAATTTGATCTTAGGTCAGTCAGTGTCCCAGTGGCCCGCACACTGTCAAAATCTATCCGTCATCATGGCCGCTTGTTGTGGGAACTATGTTGGCCTCAGCCGCCGTCCGAACCAAGGTTCAGCGGCTCTTCCAAGTCGGGACGTACCGCGCCATGCTGGAGCGGCATAACAATGGCAAGAAGATCGGGGTGGAGCAGCTGTTCCGTGACTTCAGCAAGCTCACTGTCGCTGCTGGAGAGAAGATTACCATGAACTACCTCACCAGCGCAGCGTCCATCTTCAACAAATTCTTCGCCAGCAATGTGCTCAAGGACACCGCTTTTCCGTCGCAGGTCTGTCAAGCATGTTCATTGTCATTGTCGGGTGTGTCAATATTATGTGATACTGTCATGTCATCCAGTCATTGTCAGCCACCGCCACATCAGCCAGTATTTGCCAATGTCCTCAACTTGTCTGGCAGGAGATGGCCTTCCTGGCCGATGAGCTTTTCGGGAAGAGATTCCGTCGCCAAGCTAGAGGACCTTATCAAAATCGCTCGCAGTGATGTGGAAAGCATCAGCTGGCTTTTCACGTCCTTGTGCGATTATGTGCTGAACGGGGTCTGCAAAGTCGCAGAAATGAACAGCTCAGCCCTGAGCGGAGGCAAGTCGAATCCGAAGGGGCTGCCTGGAAAAATATGTTCAGCTTGGCCGGCCGGTGTCAATCGTCAATGCCAACGTTGAACTTGTAATGTGTGTCAGGCTGCGTGTGATAGTTCATCTCAGGCTGTACCATGTTTGGCTGTGGAAGCGGGAGAATTTGTCGCTGTTGCTGGCAAAGATTGAGATGCACGTGGATCAGGAGGATGTTGCCATTATCAGGCTGAGGTTGTCCCCAATGATTGCCCGCCACTGTCCTGCCTCTTCTCAGAGTATGTTTCCCGTCGATTGTTGCAAGTCCGACAAAGTGTCCCAACAATGTCCCAAAAGGCCCCTGCCCTGTTTTCATCACTCAAAAATAGACCCTTGCCAGGCGTGCCCTTGCCAGCCACACCGCCTACCGGGAGCACTTTGGCGGGTGGCCTTTCAACCGGGCCACTCTGACCCAGAGGTTGGAGGGAGACTAAACCCGCCCAGAACCTGTCCTGGCTTGGTGCCCTGAGTGCGGCCGGGCAGCTTGCTGCGAAGTTTGCTGCTGACATAGCCTACACGGCGAAGTGGGACGGCGTGCTGAAGGGATCAGTGCGGTGGGGGGCCAGTCTTCAGGAGTTCCTCGAGCACACTGATGTTGCGCCACTATGGTCGAAGGTGTCAGGCTCCGAGAAAAATGACGCCGTGCCCATGGCGGGCAATGACAGTTTTTTGCAGTCGGCTGACGAGCAGCTCGATTCGTTTGTCTCCTTTGTCGCCAGCGAGGCCAAGGTCACTGTCAAAGAAATGAAGGATGATGATGCGTTGCAGGTGCGGGATGCCGTCGACGAGTCGAAGACACTGGTGTCATCTCTCTTGTCAACTGTCGATGGGTCAGTGTCAAGCAGCTCGCCCTTGCCCTCCGTGCCCTGGAGGTGTCCAAGGTGCGTGGCAGCCCCAAAGCTGGCACTGTGCTGTTCTGGTATGACAACGAAAGCAGCGGCGAACAGAGCTCAGACCCAAGGAGGTCGCTGACTCCGCTGAGGAGGGAACAGCTCGAGAAGACTATAATGGCTGCCATGTCGATCAGGGAGCCTGAGGCGCCCGACTGGGATGCAGATGAGGCCCCGGCGCTGTGCCCGCAAGCTTGTGATGTCTATATCTTCACTGATGGCGGGCGGTCCACGCATGGGACCAACTTCACGAGCATGTTCACCAAGACTGCCGGGAATGTGGCCCAAAGGCGGGTGAACTTAATCTACAGCGAAGAGGCCGTCACGGAGCACCGCAAGGCAGCCTGTGTTGTTTGCTTCTCCTTGTGATCTGTCCGTGTGCATCAATGCTGTCTGCAATGCTTGCATTCCCGTCTTGACAATGACTCAGCCTTTGGAGCGCGAGGCCCGTGCTGTGAGCGGTGGCGCCCGGGACCGCTCCGCCGCTTGCTTGAGTGCTTGAAGTCGTCGTTGGCCCATGCCACACAAATATCAATAATAGTGTCAGCTTCCGTCTTGACAGGTGCACGCGCGAATCATTTGCAAGTAAGGTCTTGCGTTGAAGTTCTGGTGGTGTGTCGATGTTGCGCCTGTGGCCAGATCTCACAAATGTAGGCCCAGTCAGACAATGACATGGATTTGTCGTTGTGCTTTTCTAATTAGAAAGGCAGCTGTTTCTTGGCCTTTTGTTGCGACATGTCAAGGGCTTTAACTTTGTGAGTCTGTGCGCTCGTTGTCAGCGTCCAGTTGCCAGCAGTCAGTGTCTCAGGTGTTCCACCTCCAGCAGCTCGAGATGATCCACGTTGTCAGCTCCAATGACACACCCCTTGCCGAAATCATTGGGTCCAGGAAGAATCTCCATCACCAAGGCTCAACAGCAGGTGACAGTGTTTACGGAGTGTCGAAGAACCTCATCGCCCGCCTGGGCATCGAGACGAAGGCCAAGTTGTTGGGAGCGGCCAGGGTGTCTGACCAGTCCAGGGGAAGGCGCAAGTCAAGTTCTGATGCGGCGGCTGGGTCGTCGTCTGGAGCTGAGGTTGGAGTGCCGGAGCCCATCAATTGGTCAGCCCCTCACAAGCACTTGGTGGAGGAGTTGGCCCACAGGTTCAAACCTCGTGTGGTGTACTTGCTCACTGCATCTTGCCCGACAACAATTTTGCCTCTCCTGGCTCAGGGCATCCCGGTGTGTGCTGTGGGTGCCTTGTCTGCAAGCCACGCTTTTCAAGTTTCTGGGTAGTTTTCCAATTTTGCTAAGTAGTCGTTGTTGTTGGCCAATGACAGTGACAGTGACTTCTATTTATGTCACCACCAGGCTACACAGCGGATCATTGCACCTGGCTTCGCGCAGAGTGCCAGAAGCTGATCTTCCACAGCTTCACGGACGCCAAGAGTCGGCACTTCAAAGCCCCGCTTGCCAAGCTGCTCAAGAGTGCTCTCACGCTTGATGACAGCAATGGCGGAAATCCGCCGAAGAAGGGCAAGAAGCAGGCCGTCAAGGGAAGCAACAAGAAACGCCGCAAGTCTCAGCAGGGCGGCAAGAAGACGGCCAGCAAGAAGCCGCGTGCCGAGGACGACAATGACGAGGAGGGCGGCCACGACGGCGAGGAGGGCGCCGGCGATAACATGTCCGACCTGGAGGCCTGCTTGGTTAATAAATTGATTGTGCTTAAAAGGCATGGTGTCCCATCTGTGCCTTGACACAGCCTTGTCGCCCAGGTGGCGGAGGAAGAGCTCAACTCGGAGGAGTGAGAGCGGGTCACTGTCTGAGTCTGAGCATTGTCGTTGTCATTGCATTGTCATTGTCCTGCCGCTTTCGGCTGATTTTGGAAATGCGTGCTGGGCATTGTACTGCCCCGGCGCTGGTGATTGTCGATGATCTTCAAGAGTCGGGTGAAAATGCGCTTGAAGAGCACAGCCGTTTGCTGGCTGCCAACTTGTCTAGCAGGCAGCGCAGGCCCTCGTGATGAATCCCTGAAAGCTGTAGCAGTCTCAAATCTGTCTTTTTTTTTGATTCGTAGTTCAACGTCATCAGCCCGAGGAATAACTCAAAAAATCATGGCATTTGATAAGGGCCAGAACTGGCTTTACTTGCCAGCTGCAGATTGATAGAAGTAAAGAGCGGCACTGACACATTGTTCTGTTCACAGTGCTGGCGCCGTTCCTTCATTTGATTGTCAGTGTGACGAAGGCGATGTGTTGGTGTCCTTTCGGCCCCTATCAAGCTGTTGGAGGTTGGACCAGATTCACTTCCGGCTTGACATTGACATTGACATTGATGCATTGAATTTAGTTTTAGATTGAAACAAACTTGTGCGGCAGTGGCCAGCTGGCTTAGCCATCAGTCATTGTCCTGTTGTCGCCCACCACTGCCACCAATGAAGCCTCTGGTGAAACAGCTGCACCTCAAGCAGCTTCGAAGCGACCGCCTTCAACTCTTGCTGAAGCCGGAGTTCCAGTCAGCAGGCCATAGCGACAGTGCTGATGCTGCCGAGCGGACAGTTGGTGACACCAACTGTGACAATAAAGACCTGGCTGGGAACAGCCCAAAGCCTGACAACATCAAGCTTGTTGTTGCCAATGACACTGTCCTCCCAGACAGTGATGAAGAAACCTGGGTTTTGCCAGGTGCCAGCCCTGGAGTTGGCACGTGCGGGGGGAAAATCAGGCATGTGCTGCGCTCATTCGTTGTATAATCTTGGCCGTTGTGACTGTTTGAAATCATGGTGGAACATCGCGCCCTGTCACGGTGCTCGCAGGTGGCTTGATCTTACCGTCCTGAGCTCAGCTAGCCCACCAGCTTGCAAGCAGCTTTCAAGAAGCAATGTGCCTGCCGAATTGCCAGGCCAGCTGGTTTTCGCATTGGAAGGAAAATGCTAGTCCGGCTGCTCTGCGTGTCTGTGTGGGCAAGAGCATTTATCAAGCATGGTTGGTAGTTATTTGCTGGAGCTGAATGTCTGCACCACAGAGTTGATGATTGGGAATCATGTCACTGTCATTGTCACTGTCGCTGTTGTTGTTGTTGCCCCGTTCGGCTTAGCATACCACCGATGGCGATTGAAGTGCCAGAAGTAGACCTCGTTAATAGTGGGTTGACTTGCAACGTTGACTGACTGGGCACATCAAGCTTCCCAGGGTCAAGCCCGGGCGCTGCCACAGAGAAGCAACCTAGCCATGATGGAAGGTCAGTTGTCAGTGGCGCTCAGCTGCTTCACGAACCACAAATTGTCATTGTCCATAGCTGAATGGTCAAGTGAATTCGCCGCAGGTGAAGGCTGCCACAAACAGTGGGCAGCTACTTTGCAGTTTTGTTCTATGAGCATTGTCATCTTCACTGTGTCGTCAGTGTCATCACGGCTCATCTGGCGCGCAATTTGGCCATGACCGAATCTTCATCCATGCGCGGCTGGATGGTATTAAATTTTAAAGTTTACCATGTTCACATCCTGAGATGACACGAAAAATGTATCGTCGCCGGTAAACCCTTCAAAGATTAAATTACTCAATTAGACAATTTGAAAAGCATATTTCGCATGTCCTTAAGGAGCGCCCAGATTGTGCGCACCTACACGCTGACGCCGGGGAGACGCTACTCCTTCGGCTGCCGGTACAGGCTGGGCACGGCCTCCAACTTGGTGATGTACGTCAGCGCGGCCGACAACGACTACGTGGGCGTCACCGGCACCTTCCTCGGGACGGCCCTTGCAGGGCGTTGGAGCACGGCGCGTTGGACTTCTCGGTGCCGCGGGGCGGAAATCGCGAAGGCTGCATTCGGGGCCTTCGGAGGGTCTATCCCCGGGCCTCTATCCCCGGGCTGGGCAGCAGTCGGCGGGCACGCTGGACCTGTACAGCATGCAGATCAGGGCCAGCGCCTTCGAGGGAGAGTCTGTCTCGGTAACGGACCTGCTGGCGGACTCGCTGGCCCTCACGGGCTCGGCCACGCTGGACGGGCTCAACGCGCAGGGCAACGTGGGCTGCGACCAGCTGCTGTGCAACGACGTGAACTGCACGGACGTTTTCACGACGGGCGTGGACGCCTCGGGAGCAGTCTCCTGCGCTGCGCACACAGCCACAGGCACCGTCGCCGGGGCCACGCTGACGTCCACAGGGGCCGTGTCAGGCAGCTCGCTGAGCATCACCGGCGCGGCCAGCGTGGGCCTGCTGAGCTCCGCCACCGGAATCACGGGCAGTACACTCACCATCAACAACACGGCCACCGCCGGGAACTTCACCACGGCGGGCGACGTGTCCACGGGCACGCTGACGGCCTCGGGCGCAGCAACCGCGGCGAGCTTCGCAGCCACCGGGGCGCTCACGGGCGCCACGCTGACAATCACCGGTGCGGCCTCCGCGGGCCCGCTGGACTGCGAGAGCCTGGACTGCACCTTCACGGCCACGAGCGGCGGAGTGTCGAGGGCAGCGTGGTGTGCGGCGACGTGACGAGCTCGGGCACGGTCTCCGCGCCGCAGCTCTTCGCCTCCAACACGCTCACCGTGACCAACACCTCCGACTTCTCGGACGATCTCTTCCTGACGAAGAACTGGGCGGGCTGGAGCAAGCTGCAAGTGTCCAACAACAGCGCGGCCCCGACAGCGGCCCGGAGCTGCGGCTGCTGGGCAACCAGAGCGCGCGGGTCTTCCTGGAGCGGGACGGCGGGGCGCACCAGTGCGAGCTCATCATGATCAACGACGAGGCGCTGGTGCAGACGAAGAGCCTCTCGACGCAGCTGTCCCTGACCACGAACCAGCGGAACCCCGGCTGCCTCGTGATCGCGGGCAAAACGGGCAACGTGGTCTGCAACACGAGCTTCACGGACTTGTCGGACAGCCGGGTGAAGACGGAGATTGCCGAGGCCGACGTGGCAGAGCTCAAGCAGCTCTTCGACTCCGTGGAGGCCAAGCAGTAAAAACGCCCGGACATGAACGGCGACCTGAGGCTGGGCTTCGCCTCGGACGACTTCGCAGGAACAAAGTGGAAGAATTTGACGGGGACCACGCGGTGGAGCGGAGATGGTCACGCTTGACTACTCGCACCTGACCAGCGTGCTCTGGGGGGTGTGCAAGGGCTTCCAGGCCCGGCTGGACGCACTTGAAGCCTGGCAGGCCCAGCGGGGGCCGAAGAACAAGTAAAAAATGGAGGCGCTGAGGGACCTCGCCGACGACTTCAACGTGCGGGACCCGCGGAAGCTGTACCGACTCGCGAGGCAGCGCGACCTCGACGTGACGCAGGCCATGGCCTTCGAGGCGCTGAAGGCCGACGTGGGCCGGCAGGTGCAGGCGCCCCGGCCGCGCGGGCTGGGCAAG